CCCCATTTCTGAAGAAGGGTCTCGACCCGAAACGTCAGCTTTCCTGCTCCTCTGATGCTGCTTGGCCTGCTGTCTTCATCCAGCTCTACACCGTGTTATCTCAGATTCTCCAGCATCGGCAGTTCCTACTATTTCGGTCATACAAATTACATCCATTTCCAATTAAGTCTCAATCCTGTGTATGCCTGCTATTAATGTTCAAACCAAAGAATAAATGCATTATAATGTGATTGGCTGTTTAAAAAAGTTATAGTTTTCCCCTTTAGTCAAAGGTTAATTTAATTTAACCCCTTTTATTGCAAACTGTCTACATTCATAACAAAACTCATATGTAGAACGTAAGCACTGCTGGCAAGGCCAGCAATTATTGGTCATCTGCAAATGTCCTAAAAACTGTAGTGTTGAACCACTTTTACCAACCACTTCTTCTCTGAGGTAAAGGTATTCCGATACAGCAATTATGCAGGAAAATTCTACGATTTAAATCCAGCAATGAAGAAATAGCAAGGTGTTTCCAAGTTTGGAAATATTTGGAGTATTGTGTCTAGTTTTGGTCTTGTTATCTCAAGAAATATATTATTGATATAGGAGGAATACAATGAAGCATCACCAGACTTATTCCTGGGATGGCGGGTCTGTCCTATGGAGAGAGATTGTGAAAATTGGGCCTGTATTCTCTAGTGTTTCAAACAATGAGGAGTGATCTCATTGAAACCTATAAAACACTTGGACACAGTAGTTACAGGTAAAATATTTTCTCTGGTTGGGGATCCTAAAACCAGGGGACACAATTTAAAAATAAATGAGTTCTCACTTTGGTCCGAGATGAGGAGAAATTATTTTAGAGTAGTGAATCTTCGGAATTCTCTACCTTAGAGGCCTGTGGAGGCTCAGTCTGAGAGTTAAGGTAGAGATTGATAGATTTCTGATTACCAGCAGTGTACACGTTTATGGGGATAGTGTGGGTAAAAGGCACTGAAGAGTTTGATCAGCCATGATTTTATTGAAAAGTGGGGCAGGCTTGATGGGCTAAATGGTCCTCCTGTTTGTATGTTATACGGGTTAGTGGGGACGGTAGTGATCCTATGCAATTACTGCCCTTGTCCTTCTAAATGAAAGGTGTTTCAGATTTACAAGATGCTATTGAAGAGGCCTTGGAACAGTTGCTGCTGCCACGATACAACAATGTTAGAGGAATGAATGTTTAATGTGGTGGGCTGGGAGCTGATCAAGCAGGTTGGTTCGTCTTGGATGCTGTTGAGCTTCTTAACTGTTGTGAAAACTGTACTCCTCTAGCTCATCATTTGGAAATTACAGTTAAATACAACAGCGAAACAGAAATGAATTCACCAGAAAAAAAATGTTAACTGAAAAGCTCACCTCATATCAGGTGAAAAATCCACCTGACAGGCATAACCTGCCACCATGTGGCCCTTGAAGATTTTTTTCTTATTCAGTCTAAACCTGTTTTGCGCTCCAAAGATGAGAATTTGATTGTCCATTGATTGACATGCCAGCCACTTGCCTGCACAGGAAATATTGTAGAAATTAATCAGGATTATTACATGTGAATATACATCTGTTGGGTATATTTATCCAGACAGATGTAAAATATGATGCAGTAACTGGTCCTCTAGGTAAAAGAGCTAACAATAATGTACACGTACTACTCCCTCTCCAGCAATGATCTTGCAACTAACTATTTTTATATCTTTCATTCACCTTGCATATGCTTTAAAATGAAGAGAGGATTACATAAGTACGATCACAGAATCCCTACAGTGTGGAAGCAGGCTGTTCGGCCGATCGAGGGCACACTGAATCTCTTGAAGAGCATCTCACCCCGACTCACCGCCCTATCCCTGTACCCCTGCATCCACCATAGCCAATCCACCTAACCTGCACATCCCTGGACTGTGGGAGGAAACCCAACGCACTCATGTGGAGAACATGCAAACTCCACTCAGACAGGTCCCCGGTGCCATGAGGCAGTAATGCTAACCACTGAGCTGTTGTACTATCCTGTATGAAAGCCAAGTTAGTAGATTGTAGAAATGCTGATTTTGCAGTACTGAAAATAAACCTTGGGAAAATTAAACATACAGCATTATTGGGGAACAACAATGAGAACCATTTACGAATGCTTTTAACTGAGTGCAGAAAACTACGTGCCACTAAAAGAACAGAAGACACTACACAAAAGTGGGACTCTGGTGATGAATAAAGGCAGAATGAAACAATTGAGGGTTTGGAAGGATATTTACATTAAGTAAGTAGACAGTAGAAGAGTACATGACAGAGAATCTGCAGAGATTGAGAGAAATAATAAAAACAAATTTGGAACACAAACAAAGTATGAAGTTAAATTATCAAGTGACATAAATAGAAAAATATTTTACAGGCTCATCAACTAAAAAAGGAAAACTGTGATGCGAATAGGTTCATTAAGAAAAAGACAGGGGAATACCACAGGGAATGATGGAAAGGTGGCAGAAATATTAATTAATCCCATCACTTAGGTGTTTATCTGGGAGATAGAATATGCAGATATGACATAATGGGGAGATGAGTAATGAGTAAAATACATTTGAAATTTAAAAAAAGGGATATATTGAATTATCTAAACAAGCCAGCAGATAGTTAATGAAATTCCTACATTTAAGATGAGGCACAGTATGTGGCCAGGAAAATATAAATCAGTCAGTTATCAATTATCTGGATTGTCAGAAGGCTTTCAATAAGATGGCCCATAGACTAATATATTAGATTAGAAAATGTGAAGTCAGGAACAAAAGGTAGACGAATTGCTAGCTGGCATCAAGACAAAAAGCACAGGGTTGGGAGTGGAAGGTAATTATTCAGAGCGGCAGAGGTGGAAAGTGCTGTACCACATGAATTAAGGACTACTTTTATTCACAATATTCATCAAAATCAAAAAGGATTTCTAAATTTGTGGATGACACCAAATTTTGGAGGGATGGGAGATAGGACTCATTAAAACTGTGCTGAACTGCAATAAGTTACAGTAGGATAGCTACAGATTTGCAGAATAGGCAAATAATTGGCAAATGACGTGCACACAGATAAATATAAGGAAATACATTTTTGTAGGAAGAATAGGGAATTATTTCTTGGAAGCTGCAATTCTATGTGGGGTAGAGAGACAAAAGGATCCTGGGAGTGTGAAGACATCAGTCACTAAATGTTATGCTGTAGGTTAGCACAGCCATTAAAAAGCAAACCAAGGACTAGATTTTTCGCCTGCGGTGGACTGGAGCCGGCATGGGCTGAGTCCTGCACCAGATGGAAGAGAGCATGGGCAGCATGGCCTTGTGCTGTGGGGCCTGCACGCATGCCTTGTGAGCCCCTAAACACCGCAAGCAGTAAGCCCTGGAGCAGTGCAGGGAAGAAGCCCCACAGCAGCACATGGGAAACAGCCCCCGGAGCAGTGTGCAGGCAGCGAGTCCTGGACGGAGACTCGTGTGAGGGGACAATCCTTACCTTAGGACACTGTAATGTTGACCCCTTAATATTTTCCTACTTTTAAACTTATTTTCAGCTCTGTAATTAAGCAACTACTTTACTTCCTCTGCTGTATCCAAGAATTGTACCTAGGTACTTGCACCCAAGATGTTGCCTTAAGAAGGCCGACATTATAAAAGATTTTCACTGTACTCTTACAATGGAGTACGCGTGGCAATAAAAGGATATTGTATTGTATTGCCAAGAGGGACAACAAAAGAGGGAGGTTATGTTAAATCTATAACAAAGGTTATTCTAAACTTACAGCATTGCATGCAACTATGGTGTCATGTTGTAAAAACCATATCGAGGCAGAGAGGGTATGGAGAAGATTTAGAAGGAAATTACCAGAAATATGTGGATGTATATAACATATACAAAATTAGGAAAGGATTGACAGACCAAATCTGTTTTGAATTTGGAAAAAGGTTGAGGGGTGACCTAATTGAGATTGTTAAAATTATAGCACCTAGGAGATAGGAGCAGAAGTAGATTCAGCGTAGAGTCTTGCTCCACTATTCAGTGAGAACGTGCCTGATCTGATAATTCTCAACTCCTCTTTCCTGCCTTATCCCCATAACATTTGACTCCTTTAGCGATTAAAAATCTATCTCAGCTTTGAATGCACCTAATGACACAGCCTTGACAGCCTTTAGCGATTAAAAATCTATCTCAGCCTTGAATACACCTAATGTTACAGCCTTGACAGCCTTCTGCAGATAGAAAATGCACAGATTACCCTGAGATGAAGAATTCCTCAACTCTATACTAACTGGCAACCTTTTACTCTGAGATTATGCCCTCTGGCACATACTCTCCCAAAAGGGAAAGCAAACTCTCGCATCGGCCCTTTACAGCCCCCTAAGAATCTCAGATGTTCCATCAGAATCACAGATTTATTATGGCACAAGGGGAGGTCATTCAGCCCATTGTTCCTGCACTGGCTCATTAATGAGCATCATTACCAAGTGCCAATCTCCTGCTTATTCCCTAGAACCTTGCACATTATTTTTATCCAAATAATTAACCAATAACATCTTGAATACCTCAATTGAACTTGCCTTCACAACAGTTACAGGCAGTGTATTCCATTTCCATTATGCACTGAGTAAAAAAATTTTTCTTCACTATATCTTTGTTTCTCCTGCAGGTTACTTTAAATCGATGCCCTTTTTGTCCCTTTTATGAGCGGGAACAGTTTTTCCCTATCTACATTATCCAGTCTGCTCAAAATTTTTAAAGCCTCTATCAGATTAACTCTTCGCCTTCTTTTCTCCAAGAAAATTAGTTGAACAGTCAATAACACAGGGACATAATGGTGGGAATCTAGACTGCACTTTCTGGGAGGATAGTTGAGGTGGGAGATCTCACAACCTTCAAAAAGTACTTGGATGAGTACTTGGAAATGTCATAATGTTTAAGGCTATGGGCCAAATGCTGGAAAGTAGGACTACTGTAGATATTGAGACTTTTTCATCACTGCAGGCTCGCCGGGCCAAAGGGCCTCTTCTGTTCTGTATGATTCTATGGGAGCAGTGTCCTCTCATTATTCTAAACTCCAATGAGCACTAGCTCAACCTATTCAACCTCTCTTCCTAAGAACATCTCTCCATATCTGAAATAAACCTACTGAATCTTCTCCAGTCTACCTCCAATGTCAGTATATCATTAGGACCCTAGAGATATGCAACATGGAAACAGGCCCTCAGGCCCAACTCGTTCATGCTGACCAGGTTTCCTAAACTGAACCCGTCCCATTTGCCTGCATTTGGCCCATATCCCTCTAAGTCTTTCCTATCCATGTACCTGTACAAATGTCTTTTACTGTTGTAATTGTACCTGCCTCTACCACTTCCTCTGGGAGCTCATTCCATATATGCAATATACCATATACCATTTCTGTGTAAAAAACTGCCCCTCAGCTCCCTTTTAAATCTTGCCCCTCTTACCTTAAACCTATGTCCTCAAGTTTTGGACTTCCCTACCCTGGGTAAAAGACCTTTGCTATTCACTTTATCTATGCCTCTCGTGATTTTATAAACTTCTATAAAAGGTCACCCCTCAACCTCCTACGTTCCAGGGAAAAAGGTGTCAGCCTATCCAGCCTCTCATAACTCAAACATTCCAGTCTTGGTTACATCTTTGTAAAACATTTTGTACCCTTTCCAGTTTAATAACATCCTTCCTATAGCAGGGCAACCAGAACTGTCTGCAGTACTCCAGATGTGGCCTTCCCAATATCTTGTACAGCTGTAACATGACATTCCAACTCCTGTACTCAATGCTCTGACTGATGACGGTAAGCGTATCAAACGCCTTGCTCATAATCCTACCTGTGATGCTACTTTCAAGGAACTATGTACTTGCACCCCTAGGTCTCTCTTTTTGACAACACTCCCCAGGGCCCTACCAGTAACTGACTAAGTCCTGCCCTAGTTTGCCTTACCAAAATGCAACACCTTGCATTTATCTGAACTAAACTCCATCTCTGCCATTCCTCAGCCTGCTGGCCCAGTTGATTAAGATCCCATTATGCTCTTAGCTAACTTTCTTCACACTACACTATACCACCAATTTTGGTGTCATCCGCAATCTTACTAATAGTACTCTCCCATTTTATCATCCAAATCATTTAGATAAATGACAAAAAGCAGTGGACCCAGCACTGATCCTTATGGCATGCTGCTGATCACAGGCCTCCAGTCTGAAAAGCAACCACCACCCTCTGTCTCCTACCATCAAGTCAATTTTGTATTTAATTAGCTAGATCTCTCTGAATTCCAAGTGATCTAACCTTACAAAACAGTTGACCATGCAGTACCTTGTTGAAGGTCCACGTAGACGTCTACCACACTGCCCTCATCTATCTTCTTGGTCACCTCTTCAAAAGACTCAATCAAGTTTGTGAGACATGATTTCCCACGCACAAAGCCATGCTGACTATCCGTAATCAGTCCTTGCCTTTCCAAATGCATGTAGATCCTGTCTCTCAGAATCCCCTCCAACAACTTACTCACCATTGACGTTAGGCTCACCAGTCTATAGTTCCCTGGCTTTTCCTTGCAGACTTTCTTAAATAAATCATTCCTTAGTTATGAGGACGAAAATTGTTCACAGTTCTCCAGCAGAGATCTGACTCGTGCCTTGTATATTTTTTAGCAAGATGTCCCTAGTTTTATGCTCCATTTCCTTTGAAATAAAGGCCAATAATTCTTTTAGACCGTAAGACATAGGAGCAGAAATTAGGCCATTCGGCACATCGAGTCTGCTCTGCCATTCAATCATGATTGATAAGTTTCTCAACCCCATTCTCCCACTTATCTCCGTAACCTTTGATCCCCTCGACAATCAAGAACCTATCTATCTCTGTCTTAAATATACTGAATGACCTGGCCTCCACAGCTTTCTGTGGCAATGAATTCCAGTTGACCATCACTCTCTAGCTGAAGAAGTTTCTCCTCATTTCCATTCTAAAGTGTCTTCCCTTTATTCTAAAGCTGTGCCCTCGAGTCCTAGTCTCTCCTGCTAATGGAAATATCTTAGAACACAGAATATTGAACTGTACAGCATAGGATTTGGCACTTCAGCCCACGATGTGGTGTCGAACATAATGCCAAATGAAACTAATCACTTCTGCCTGCCATTGGTTCACATCCCTCCATTCCTTGCATATTCATATGCTTATCTCAAAGTCCCTAAATGTCCCTGTTGCATCTACCTCCACCACCACCCTTGGCAGTGTAAAAAACTTGCCCCTCACATTTCCTTTGACTTTCTCCCTCTAACATTAAATGACTGCCCCCCTCGTTTTAGACATTTCAACTCTGGGAAGAAGATTATGACCGTCAACCCTATCTATGCATCTCATAATTTTATAGACTTCTACCAAGTCTCCCCTCAGCCTGTGCTGCACGAGAGAAAACAACCCAAGTTTTTCTAGCGTCTCCTTAGAGCTCATACCCTGTAATCCTAGCAGTATCCTGGTAAACCTCTTCTGCACACTCTAAATCCTTCCTTTAATATGGCACCTATCTTTGTGTCATCAGCAAGCTTAGCCAGAATGCCCTCAGTTCCTTCATCTAGATCATTAATGTATAAAATTAAAAGTTGCGGTCCCAACAATTACCCTTGTGCAATACCACTAGTCACTGGTGGCCATCCTGAGGAGGATCCTTTTATCCCCACTCTCTGCTTTCTGCCAGACAGCCAATCTTCAATCCATGCTAGTACCTTGCCTCTAACACTAGGGGCCTTTATGTTACTCTGCAGCCTCCTATGCAGCATCTTGTCAAAGGCCTTCTGGAAGTCTAAGTAGATAACATCCATTAGCTCTCCTTGGTCTAACCTGCTCATTACCTCCTCAAAGAATTCTAACAGATTTGTCGGGCATGACCTCCCCTTGATGAAACCATGCTGACTTTGCCCTATTTTACCATACATTTCCAAACATTCAGCAATCTCATCCTTTACAATGGACTCCAAAATCTTACCCACGACAGAGGTTAGGCTAATCGGTCTGTAATTTTCCATCTTTTGCCTTACTCCCTTTTTAAACAGGGGTGTCACGTTCACGATTTTCCAGTCCTCTGGGACCCTCCCTGCCTCTAGCGTTCCTGAAAGATCACCACTAACGCTTCCACTTGCTCTTCAGCTATCTCCTTTAGAACTCTGGGGTGTAGTCCATCTGGTCCAGGTGATTTGTCCACCTTCAGACCTATCAGTTTTACTAGTACCTTCTCCCTGGTGAAGGCCACCATAGTCACCTGAATTTGCCCCATGACTCTCTTGAATTTTTGGGACGTTACTCATGTCTTCCACTGTGAAGACTGACACAAAGTACTTTTTCAGTTCTTCCACTGTTTCTTTGTTCCCCATTACTACTTCTCCAGTGTCATTTTCCAGTGGCCCAATGTCCACTTCTGCCCTTTATATATCTAAAGAAACTCTTGTAATCTTCTTTTATATTACTGGCTAGCTTACCCTCATATTTTATTTTCTCCCTCCTATTTCTTTTTTGGTTGTCCTCTGTTGGTCCTTGTAGGCTTCCCAACCCCCTGGCTTCCCATTGCCCTTTGCCTCATCATATGCTTTCTCTTTGGCTTTTATGCTGTCCATAACTTCCCTTGTCAGCCACGGTTGCCTCATCTTCCCTTTAATATGCTTCTTTTTCCTAGGGATGAATGTTTGCTGTGTCTCCAGAATTACTCCCAGAATCTCCTGCCATTGCTGTTCCACTGTCTTTCCTGCTAGGCTCCTCTCCCAGTCAATTCTGGTCAGCTCCTCCCTCATGCCTTTATTCAACTGTAATACTGTTACATCTCATCTCACCTTCTCCCTCTCAAATTGCAGAGTAAATTCCATCATGTTATGGTCACTGCCTCCTTAAGGGTTCCTTCACCTTATGCTCTCTTATCAAGTCTGCCTCATTGCATAACACTAAATCCAGAATTGCCTGTTCCCTAGTGGGCTCCACCATAAGCTGCTCCAAAAAGCCATCTCGTAGACATTCCACAAATTCCCTTTCATGCAATCCACTACAAACCTGACTTTCCCAGTCCACCAGCATATTGAAGTGCCCCATGATCACTGTAACCTTGCCTTTCTTACACACCTTTTTTACCCTTTGGTGCAACTTGTGCTGCACATCCTGACTGTGTTTGGAGATCTGTACATAACTCCCATTATAGTTTTTTTTAAACCTTTGCTGTTCCTCAATTCAACGCGCACAGATTCTATGTCATCTGACCCTACATCATTCCTTGCTATTGATTTAATTTCACTTCTTACTAATAAGGCAACCCCACCCCCTCTGCCCACCTGCCTGTCTTTTCGATAGGATGTATATCCTTGGATATTTAGCTCCCAGGCCTGATCCCCTTGCAGCCACGTCTCCGTGATGAGCACCACATCATCCCTGCCAATTCTGATCTGCGCCACAAGCTCATTTCCTTTATTTTGTATATTGCGTGCATTCAGATACCACACCTTCAGTCCTATATTTAGCGTCCCTCTTCTCATCGTCATCCCTTTATCCAGTGTGCTTGAAGTTTGATTCCTAACCCTTTCCAAACACTCTGTCCTATTTTGTGTTCTGGAGATTTAATAACCACTCCTGAGTTCTCCTTTATTTTCATTTTTTTCATACTTTTCCATGCAGTTGAATCCACCCCCACAGATGTTAACCTGTTGCTCTGTTTCCCATTGGCCATTACACTTCTTGGAATTTTACTACCACCACCACCCCCACCCTGCCCCCCAACTTTCTAGTTTAAAATCCTGTTCACTAGAACATTGGTTCCAGCTTGGTTCAGGTGGAGACCATCCCAATGGCACAGATCCCTCCTGTTCCAATACTGATGCCAGTGCCCCAAGAAAAGGCACCTCTCTTTCCTACACCACTCTTTAAGCCACATGTTTACTTCCCTTATTCTCACGTCCCTATGCCAATTTGCACATTGCTCCGGTAGTAATCTGGAGAATTTAACACTCGAGGGCCTGTTCTTTAACTTAGTTCCTCGTTCCTGATAATCCTTAAACAGGTCCTCTTGCCTATGTTGTTTGTCCCGATGTGGACCACAACAACTGGATCCACCCCCTCCCTCTCTAATATCCTTTCAAACTGGTCAGTGACGTCCTTCACTTTGGCAGCAGACAGGCAACACACCATTCAGAACTCTTGGTCTTGCTTGCAAAAGATGCTATATATTCCCCTACAACTACCACTTGTCTTTTTGCTCCCCCCTCTTGAATGGCCTCCTGTACCACAGTGCCATGGTCAGCTGGCTCATCTTCCCTACAGTTCTGTTCCTCATCCACACAGGGAGCAAGTGCCTCGTACCTGTTGGACAAGGCCAAGAGCGGAGGCTCCTCTGTTCCTGCATACAGAATCCCTCTACCTGCCTCACTTGCAGTCTCACCCTGCTGTTCCTGGCCAATGACCGAATTTGGGGTACTTAATCTATCAGGTGTGACCGCCTCCTGAAACAAAGCGTCCAGGTAACTCTCCCCCTCCCAGACTTTCCTTCTTTATTACCTGGTGAACCTGAATGCTAGTTTTCTGTGATTCATGCATGAAGATTCTAAATCCCTCTGCGCTGAAGCTATCTGTAGTCTTTCTCCATTTAAATAATATTCAGCTTTTCTATTTTCCCAAAGTGCATAACTTCCCATTTTCCCACATTATATTCCACCCAACAACCTTTTTCCCCACTCACTTAACCTGTCTATATCCCTGTCTAGACTCCTTGTGTCATGCTCACTATTTGCCTTCCCACCCATTTTTGTGTCATCCAAAAACCTGGCGACAGTACATTCACTTTTGTCATCTAGTCTTTAATATATAGCAAATAATTGTTATGAAAGGCTCTTATACAGTGGATCCAGAGAGAATGTTTCCTCATGTGGGGAACAGCAAAACTAACAGCCATCAATGTAACATAGTCACCAAAACAAAAAGCCAACAGGGAATTTGGCAGAAACTAATGAGTGGTAAGAAAAAAGGACGGGCTATCACAGGTTGAAGCAATAATACATGGTACCCAAACAAGCAATTAAAGGAGACATGAATAAATGTTAAATTTAGATGCAGCTCATCTTTTGTCATTTCAGCACTAAAAACCTTTGTGATCTCAGCACTCTTCCAACTCTAGCCTCTTACATATCCTAGAATTTAACCATTCCAAAACTGAAGGTCATGCCTGCAACTGCCTCAGCTATAAGCTCTGGAATTCCTGCCCTAAAACTGTCCTCCTCATCACACTCTCTGCCCTTCTGGAACTTCTTAAAAGCTACCACTTTTGATCATCTGTTCTAATAATAACTTTACGGGTTTGGTATCAAGTTTTGTTTGTCTGTGCTCTTGTGAGAGTTATTGAATGCAAGTTGATGTTGTTAGCTAGACTGTTAAAAACAAAACACAGCATCTGACAATATTTTAAAATGAAGTGGGGCTTAATGGTCAGGAAGATAAGTGCAGAGATTTCACAAACTCACCATTTGGTGACAAAGTTACGGCTGGCATAGAGTGCATACTTGGTTCAGCAATGTACTTGAAGTCCACAGGAATGTCCCTGTAAGATCGCACGAAGACAGAAAAGCAAACAGAAATAAAAATTGCTGTTTAAAGTTCTGAAGTTCAGATTATTCAGTCTACCCGAATCCTAGAGATTGTGCTGAGCAAGAAGTCCAAAAGAACAAAGCATCTCCTCACACAAAAGTCAAACTGCCAGACTGATGAATAAGTGGAATAAAAGCTCCAAGAGGAAATCTCAACTGCTTTTTTATTGTTAAACACAGCAACTATTTTCCACTGTACAGAGAAACAAAGAGAACAATGTGTATGTCACTATTGGGAGTGCTACATTAGAGTGTCAAACCAGCCCATGAAAGGAAAGAAAATGGGATGATTACTGAAAGCAGATGAGGTAAAGAACCAATGAACAACTTAACATGGAACTACTGCAATTATTAGAATGCAGTAAGAGATACAGATGACGGACATTCCTAAATGTTAGGCATTTATTTCTTTAGATAGACTGCTCATGAATTTAAACATAATGGTTCAAGCTGCGGTAAAAAAATTGTCATAAACCTCACCCTGCAATTCAATGCATTTAAGATGAAATTGCTTGAGAGTTAGAAGAAAGGAGTACAAAAGTGCCTTCAGTCAAATCTGATCATTTCCTTTAAAATACATATTAATAACATTTATTGAATTTCAGTAGTATTACTGCAATTCCTCCACTTACAGAAACACAGAACAGGGCAGAATTCACAGGATGGGAATCCAACTAAAGTCTGACGTGAATTGTAATATTGTGGCACCATAAAAATGTAGATAATTAGACAGCATTGGGATTAATTACATGCTTTTATTCAACCAAACTTTTGGTTTGTACAGATGCCGATGAACCAAAGCTTCAAGACTGCCATTATTTCAGGTGCAACTTCTCTCTCCTTATCATTTCAGTACTTTATTTTAAATTCAAACAGAAAATGCTGGAAATACTCTTCACTCAGGCAATATCATTGAGGACAAACAAAGTTAACATTTCTAATTATCAGACTGCAGTAAGAGATGCAATGATGGACATTCCTAAAAGGTTAGGTGATTATTTCTTTAGATAGATAATGCTCGTGAATCTAAACATAATGGTTCATGCTGTGTTCAAAAAAAAAGTCATAAACATCTCCCTGCAATTCAAGTTGTTTATTGGTTGTCCCAACTGCTTTCAGGTCAACAGTCCTTTCACTGAACTGCCTAAACCTCTTTCCAGACAGTAGATGAGATGTATTGACACAATGGATGATGATGCAAGGCAATAGAGGATGGTATTTGGACAAGTAAAGAAACAAATGATGTATTCTGAAGTAAAAATGGCAAGGGTAGAATTACTATCAATAATTGCTATCTGGGAAAAACGGAAGCAGTGGTTATCATCTCAACTGGTCAAACTCAACTTTGAGGATTGAGTAAAAATAAATGCTGCTTCTCAAAAGTTTATTGAGTTCAGAGTAGTGTAGGAGGCCAAGAATGGGTGGTGAATTAAAATTACCTTACCTTAAGCCGAGGGTCATGCTTAAGGACTGAAAGGAGGGGCTCCACAAATCAATTACTCAACCTGTATTTGGCCTTCCCAGTAATGAGAAGACCACATTATGAGTAGTGAATACAATATACTAAATTGAAAGAAATACAAGTAAATTGCTAATTTGTCACAACATTGTTTGGCGCCCTGTTCTATTGAAGGATTACAGACCTTATGTGTTAACTCATATTTCTCTCTCTCTACAGACAGTGAGTATTTTCAGCACTTACTGTTGTTATTTCAGATTTGCAGAATCAGCAGCATTTTGCTTTAAAATTCTTCCCTGGCTCTTGGAGGGAGGGGGAAGGGATGATAGTAGAAGTGAGGGAAATGGAACAGGTGAGGGAAATTTGCAGATAAGAAAAAAGGATGACATGAAAAAGTATTGCTGTAGAAAGCAATGGTATCATCAGAAGGTGTGATGTAAAAACCAGGAGAACAGATGGTGTAAGGATGCCTAGTGAAGCTAGCTGAGGAAGTGAGTTGACAATCCGTTCCCAGAAAGTGTGATATGGAAGAAAAGGAAACAAGGGGAAAGAGTCACATTTAGGATACGTGAAGGTGATATTAGCATGAAAGTTAAGGGCAAAGTTAATCTAATCTCGCAGTTTAGGACGACAGTAGGATATAACACTTCCACAGTCATCAACATGCTGGACAAAGAGTTGTAGGATGCCATTCAGTCCACTGCGGTTATGCCATCACTCTATTCATGCTCCTCTGTTCTTTCCCTACACACCTGTAAATATTTCCTCTTAAAGTATTTATCCAATTTGCTTTATAAAGTCAATACTGAACCTGGGTCTATTAACTAATCTTTCAGGCCATACGTTTCAAGTGACTAGAACTGACTGTTGCCTCTGGTTCTACTGCCAATTTCTTTAATTCTGTGGTTTCTGGTTACTGACCCTTCAGCTACTGTAAACTGTTTCTCCTTAAGTACTTCTTCAAAATCTTTTAAAGTTTCAAACAACTTCTATCAAATCTCCCCTTCGGTTTTTCTGTTTGAAACAGATCAGGAACTATAACCACATCAGACACGTATCTGGGATACTGAAACAATTGTTCACATATTTAATATGTCAGAATATATAAATACATCTGTCTGATTGACAAGGACTTGTGGTAAGTCATGGCACATTAGGAAAATGATGATGATGTCACAAAGAACTAGCAAAAAAAAAGCCAGGCATTCACACTGTTACATCAGGTTATATTTAGCAGCTCTTTCCTTAAGAACACGTAATTTTCCTTTTGTTTTTAATGTTCTTTATTGACTTTTGTAATTTTTTTATTCCCACTATTACTGTTGCCTATTGATGGTGTAATTCAGTGGGAACACTCACCTCAGGAACAAGGTACACCACCTTGTATACGCAATCAATATAACTGTCCCCCACAACAGCCTGAATTGCCAATCATTCATGGAGGGGCCGACTGTGTGCTACAGAGAAAATCTCCTTGCTCTCACACTAAAGCTCTGACCTAGAGACCTCCAGTTAGAAATCTTTATTTGCTCCTGTTCTTTCAATTCACACTGAAATTGTGCATTTCCTAATTGTTATTTACATCGCTTGCTGGTTATTTGTAGGTGATTTTGGATGATTACTTCAGTTGTGCATTACTTTCTCAGTACACATAAGATAGCAGAACTTCCAAAAAAAATCTGTGAGAGTGCATAACAAAAGGGAAAAGCATTGAATTCCCACTTAAAAGACTGTGTGTCAAGAGAAATTTCCCCCTTAGAGGTTGTAACCACGTAAAAATTCACACATTTCAGAACAAAAGCCTTTAACCCAATTAATGTGGTCTCTGGAACAAACATAAATCTTCTTTATCTATACACCTGAATGTTCTGCAGTAGGGTATTTTGACATACTTGAGCAACATGATTTGCTACTCTGACTGGTTGTGATTTTGAGTTACAAATAATACACAATGTCTAGAGAGAAGATTATGTTAGACATCTTCCAGGCACCATTCATACATATTTTATTTAGCAGTTAAAATGGAATGTTTCATATGGAGGAAATGATTTGGCATATCTTAGTCACAGCAGCCACAAGTAAGAGGGACAGGAATGTGAAAAATGGATTGGTAAAACAGTCCAGACATGAAAAAAAAATCTGCCAATTAGTTAAAGGTGACACCTTACGAAAAAAAAACATTTACAATTTTATTAATGACATCACAATGAATGTTTTTTAGCTCCAAAAATTTCAGAGCTCCCAATTATTTTTTGGGACCCAGCTAGTTCCTTCTAGCTCAACAGATTCTGACAAACACCACTCGTATACAATTACTAATTCTCAGTACAAGTATTCAATTGTTAATTCAATTTCTCTACTTTATGAAACAATTTTTGTTTAAACATGGCAAAACCTTTTCTGCTTTTTGCTGCCATGTGCCACACACTCATCTTTTTTATTCTTTCATGGGATGCAGGCAACAGTGTCAAGGAAAGCATTTGTTGCCCATCATAACTGCCCTTGAGTTGAATGATATGCCAAGCCATTTCATAAGGCATTTAAGAATCAACCACAATGCTGTGGGACTGGAGTCACAAACAGGCCAGACCTGATACAAATGGCAGATTTCCCCCAGGAACAACACAAGTCAATTACGTGGTCTTTATGACAAATGGGCGATGATTATCACAATTGTCACTGTTAATACCAGCTTTTAATTGCAGTTTTTTAAAATTAAATTTAAATTCCATCAGCTGCCATTTCAATATTTGATGCATACTCTCACAGCATTATCCCGGACTTTGGGACTAATAGCCCAGAGGCAAAAATGCTAGGCCACCATCCTGTGCAAATTATCTCCTCATTGTATGTTGGACACTCAGTTACTTAAACAGTCAAAGCAACAGTGATTACTACTTTCTTTATACAACTGCTATTACTGTAATTCCTCAAATCAAACACATATATTCTCTCCCATCCCCCACATCTTTATTAATAGAATGGTTCTGTTTAAACTACATCTATTTCAAAGTAGGAACAGGCTTACACTAACATGTTCAGGCACACATCCAATCTTTTCTGATTAAGAACATAACCAAGAATACAGAGTGGTCCTAACAGACTGATTCTTTCCAGCTGTGGATACACACTATATAATTGCTGGGTCAAATCTATACAACTGCAGTTAGACCTGCAAAATGGCATGAAATAACATCCTCATCAGCTGTCAAAAATCAACGCAAATCTTTTAAGGTCAGACAATTTGACTTAAAAACATAATCAGTACAAGCTTTGAAATTTGTTTTGTTCTCAGTGCAAATTCAAAGTTAAATAGATTAAAAGATTTGTTCCTATTTATTAAAGCTGTGGCCTATAACAAGTCACGGACAATAGTCTATAAGATTAGGAAGTTTCCTAATGACCTTACAGATTTTATATCATTGGACCCACTATAGGAGGCAACACATCCCTTGCACTAATCTATGGAAAAGGCTACAGGACAAAAGATCAAAA